ACTGCTAATTTATTCCACGATGTACTTTGAGGTGGGAGCATTTTCTTTAACTCACCAAGTGGTCAAAATCCTGCAGATAACGAGTGTGCTTTAATATTAAAACTTCAAATCGTCTCTATGGCACTGAAAGCATTTAACTCAAACTCACCTAATTAAAAAAGAAGAGTCAAGCGGGGGCCAAGGAATTTATAAAAATGGTACCTGGTGCCTGAGAGAACGCTTCTTAAGGTATGCAGCATGTTAGAGCTATGCTGACGTGTTCTTAACCCATTGGTACTGTTTAGAAGTTCAGAACATGGGATTGTATGGCTAGAAATGCTAAATTCTTCTAGTCCAAATCCTCTGTCTTTCAGATATAGAAACCAAGGCTCAGAGAGCTTCAGTGACTCACCCAAAGCCACTGAGACTGAGCAGGGGTAAAACCGGCAGCCCACCTCCTTCCCCAGCCCACTGGGAAGTCCCCTCCCCCCTCCCCTCCCCCCTCCTCCCCCTCCTCCCTCCCCTCCTCCCTCCCCTCCCCCCTCCCCTCCCCCCTCCCCTCCCCCTCCCCCTCCCCTCCCCCTCCCCCCTCCCCTTCCCCTCCTCCCCCTCCTCCCTCCTCCCCACCCCTTCCCCCTCTTCCTTCCCTCCTCCCGCTCCCTCCCCCTTCCTCTCCCCCTCCTCCCTCTCCTTTACCACCCCTCTTCCCCTCTTCCCTCCCCCCCAAAAAGCTATTATTTTGATAAAATTTGAATCACAGCTATGACTTCAGCCCGCACTGGACCCTGTGCTCACGCCCACCCTCTGAGCCCCTGCCAACCTTAGCCCATTCATCTTGACCACAGCCCCTGGCGCTCACCTCTCCCTCCAAGAGTGCACCCGCAGAAGAGTGCCCGCCGGGAAGGACCGCCTCCAGGGCGCCGCCCTGCGCAGGCTTCGGAGAAGGTTCAGGGCCTCGCTCCTGGCTTCTTAGCACCAGCTCCTGGCTGCTTAGCACCAGCAGCCAGGACTGGCCTCCCAGCAACGGTTGTGCAGTCAGATCGCGGGAGCCAGTTCCTCGCTGCTTCTGTCACGCTGTAAAGACAAACTTGAAACATACGATTTCTTGAATTGCTCATTCTCTCCTGTTAGCACGTGGATGAAAAAGGACAGAAATGATGGTGATTAGCCCAGTCAGTCTCTCCATCGGGGCCACAAGGCGACTCCTGGCTGCCCCGATGCGGTGACCAGGGTCACCCGAGGATGGGGCTTTGGGCTGCGAGGTCTGACCCTCGCTGCCCAGCAGAGGCCGTGGGATGGGTGAGGGGCTCCGGGCAGGCGGGCGGGCGGTGGGTGGGCAGCCCCGAGTTCTGGCTGGTCTAGAAGGGAAGAAGGAGCCAAGCAGATGGAAATATGCACAACACCCGCAAGGACGTTTCAGACCTAACCAGGAGGCAACCCTTCAGAGTCGGGATGCTCTGGGCACCAGCAGGGGTTGACGGGTTCCCCAGGCTGATGATTCTAGGGAGTCCTCGGCCATCTCTACACGGCTTCTTATGGGTGGGGGCGGCCTTTATACCCCCAGGGAGGTGCACACACAACAAAACTCCTCCTATCTCCGGGAGGAGATTTAGGAAAAGACAAAGAGGATTCGAGTTGTCCTCAAGAAGGAAAAGAGATGGTCAGTATTTTCTTAAGGAATTATTTCAAAAACTCTTATCTGACTTGTGAATGGTTGTAAGTCCCAGGCACGCACACTAGGAAAGATGAGCTCTGCCTTGGGATCACGCCTTTATCTTTTAAGGCGAGGGTCATTATTAAACTCCTGGTTTTCTAAATTCGTTCACGGCTGCCTTCTCAGAGAAATGTTGGTCATGCAGCGCGGGCAGGACAGACCCAACCCAAAGTGAAACACGAGCCCTTGTCTTCGGGTTTGTGGACAGGCATCCTTAGGAAGCAGGTGGGAGACACAGGGACCAAAGCCCCCACCCGGGCCCCTCGCACCGACTCACCAAAAGTGGCCTCGGGGGTGTTTCTGGTCCTGACAGGTGGCATCTGCCTCCCGCAACGTTTGGATCTCTGAACACAAGCCCGTGGTCTCAACATCAAAGCACAAGCAAGTTAAACCCAGACTGGGCCCTTTTCTATTCATATCCTGGAAAGAACTGCCTCCAGATTTTAGAAAGAATTATAAGGGAGAAAAGTGAAGAAATAGCATTGACTAGACATGTAGGCTGCATTAAAATCCCAATTTTTCTTTTCTGTGTTATTTTTAAGTAAGCCTCAGTTTTATCAACTGTAAAATGGCCATAATAATAGTATTTTCATCCCAGGTAGGGCTGGTCTCGATTAATGCCTGTGTAACAAAGCATAGTATAATTTTTATTATGCAAATTGTCCACACAAGAAAAAGATTGCCTAAAATAGCTCTTTAAGAAAAGAAAAGGACTCCCTATGGAGAAAATGAAAACAAACATACTTTTCTGCAGTGGACTGTCTTCTGGAGGAAGAGGAGGCCCTGTTCACACCCTCCATTGGGCTGAAGCATCATATTTGTAGAGCAGCCTTAGGGCCGAGAGTGGTTGGTCCACCTGGGGAGAAGCCAGCACAGCAGGTTTCAGGGTCAACGCACGGAAGGTGCCCAAAGGTTGAGTGCCCTTTACCCTTAAAGTGTGTTCACCATTCCCGTGCTGGCCACCAACACGTCTGCAGGACACAAAGGGCCAGGCGTGCATGCTGAGGGCGGCTGGTTCCAACCATTGGTCCCACTCACCAAACTGGGGGAAGCTCTATTGCAACTGGAGTCAGGGGTCTGGCCGGTGGGCTGATGGTTACCCAAGCACAGGGTTAAACGCTGCAAACTTGCAAGATGCGCTCTAATCAGACTTCATGAGTCCCTAGCTCAGAGGGTAGAGAGAGGTCTCCCAGGAGTAGAGCTCAGACGTGAAGGTGGGCTCCGACGCCGCCCACTGATGGCGCAGCAGCCTGGCGGGTTCGATGTCTCCCCCAGGCGGGCCTCCCAGGCGGGCCTCCCAGGCTGTGTGTGTGTGTGTGTGTGTGTGTGTGTGTGTGTGTGTGCATGCGTGCGTGTGTGTCTCTCCCTTGGTCTTTCCCAACGCTGGGCTCTGCTGAGCCGAGGTCGGCTTTTCTTCCTCCAGGTAGGTTCCCGTTCTCTAAAGCTTCTCCCCCAGGGGTGGTACATCCTACCTCGGGGACAATGACAACTGGCTGCCAACGTCATCGAGGCCCCCGGATGTGAACCCCCTCTCTCCACTGTTGGTGCCCCCATCCCCGCTTTATAAACGGGGAGTCCGAGGCTTGGAGAGCAAGCGTGCATACACGCGTGCTAAGTCGCTTCAGTCGTGTCCGGCTCTTTGCCACCCCGTAGACTGTGGCCTGCCAGGCGCTTCTGTCCATGGGATTCTACAGGAAGGAATACTGGAGTGGGTGGCTATTTTCTCCTCCAGGGGATTTTCCTGGCCCAGAGACTGAACCAGCGTCTCTTACGTCCCCTGCATTGGCAGGCAGATTCTTTACCACCAGCGCCACCTGGGAAGCCCTTGGGGAACGGGCTGTGCTCCGCTCCGTCCCTCGGTCATCTGTTTGCGATGCGACCCCCTGGACTGTGGCCCACCAGGCTCCTCTGTCCTTGAGATTCTCCAGGCAGGAACACTGGAGTGGGTTGCCACGTCCTCCTCCAGGGGATCTTCCCAACCCAGGGATCAAACCAGCATCTCCATCATCTCCTGCACTACAGGCAGGGTCGTTACCACTGAGCCACCGGGGAAGCCTGGGGAACAAGCCTGTCTGCTGAACAGAGACTCTGGAGGAGAGCTTGAGCCCTGGCACTTGTGGTCTCTCCAGCCTCGAGGGTGGGGCCAGGATGCCCCTGCCTTCACTCACCGGGTCTGCAGCACGGCCACTAGAACCACATACAAAGTTAAGATATTTTAAAAATCCACCTTAGGACAAGTGTCCGAGTGTCTGCTGTGAAACCCCACGGATCCAAAACCTCACAGGCGTAACTAACGCCTGAGAGGTCCGCCAAGTTCATCCGGGAGGAGAGAAGCCTCTCTGAGATGCCAGGTGAAGCGGGAACTGTTTGTAGAATTATTTGAAATTAGTCTTCTAAGGAAGAGCATTTACTGAGGATCTAAATCTCTGGGTTTTCTCTGTTGTTGCTGTATGTCATCTCTCAGGCAAATAAGAATGTTAACAAGCCCACACCAGAACCATTTGAAAACGGCTCTGTTTTTACATGTTACAGTGCCTGACCTCCATCAGTAAACAGCTAAATATCAGGGGTCCGTCTGCTCATTCGTGGAACCCTTATTCTATCCTTGTGGATTTACTCACATTAATAATCAGTTAATGAGCTCAGCAAACATTTCTGGAGTGTTTGACAGAAGATACTAGCAGTTTTGCTGGGTCCTCGGGGCACAGCAGCCCATAACACAGAACTCCTATCTGGTTCATCTTTCTGGCCTGTTTATATATTTCTCCGCAAGCTCTGATGGTCCGATAAGAAATTCATTCTTGTCTCTCTTCCTTTCGGTTTATGCCTTCCTCTCCAGTCCATGGAAAACTTTATTAAAATAGCTTAACTCTATTACCCCAGAAGCACAAGGTGTTAATTTAAAAGTGGAGTCAGGTTCACCAGATCCAGACTCAGAAAGCCCACCCCGCTGTGCCCCACCCCCCAGTCTTGTTCTATTAACAGATACCCAGAGCATCAGCCCCAGGGATGGACCGCCTCCCACCAGAGGCTCACTTTGGAAATGGTCATCAAATCTGTCCTCTCGGGACAGTCCCTGTGAGGTTACCGGTGACGGGACAGGGGGAAGGGGCCCTGGGGTCCTGCGTCAGCATGAAGGGCAGTGGGGGAGGGGGCCCTGGGGTCCTACATCAGCGTGAAGGACGGGGGGAAGGGGCCATGGGGTCCTGTGCCAGTGTGAAGGGCAGGGGGAGGGGGCCAGTGCTGAGAAGGAGTGGGAACAGCAGCTGCGGGGAAGCCCCCCGCCCCCGGCCGAGCCGACAGGTCCATGCTGAGTGCCCCCAGCATGCAGGCCCCCGCCCACCCCGGCAGGGTGGGCACTGGGGGTTCCCAGGCCTCACGGCAGGCCCCCACGCGCCCCCGAACCACCTGCCGGACGTGAGCTCCTGGGGAGGCGCCTGTGAGATCCTCCACCGCAGGCTTTGGGGAGTAGGGAGGTTTCCGTTTCTCTCTTCTTTTTCCCATTTTCTGTGGTCTGTCTTCACCATGACCTCCGCCCTGTTGTGACGGGGTCTGTGCTGGGCTGGGCATGTGGGCGCGGCCGGGAACCAGGCAAGGGGCTGTTTACAGAGACACTTGCGCTGGAGCACCGCTGCTGTGTCTGTGTCGTAACTCACACCGGGCCCTGAACCAGAGGGGCCTGCGCTCCAGGCGGGGGCCCGGGGGCGGGGGGAGGCGCAGCTCTGGCCACACGCCTCTCTCCTCCCCACGGCAGGTGGACCAGAGTGGAGGACAAGGCCCGATGCAGGCCCAGCTATAGGGAGGACCTTTAAGAATAAAAGGATTCCAGCCACCCGGCTGCCTCAGGGGTGAGGACACTGGGAGGAGCCCAGCTCCCTTCTGCAGTGGCTTGGGGTCCTTCGGGCCATGTGTGTCCTGGAAGGGGACCGCAGCCTGGCAGGACACAGAGGCTATGTTAGGGGCTCGGGGCTGCAGTGCAGCGCTTGCTCCCCGGAGCCGCTCGGCCCCACCCGTGGGGTGATGCCCACCCTCGGGTACCATCAGGAGAGTCCAGTCCAGGAACACACACAGAGCCTCTCAGCCTGGAGCGAGGTGTCCCTGACCTGTCACCCACGACCCTGGCAGGGAGCAGCCAGGAAGCCTGCCTGGAGGAGGGGCCCCTGGCTAAGCTGGAAGGATGCTGGGCTGTGAGGAGGCGGGAGGACTTCCCGGCCAGGGGGACGGAGCCGGTGGGGGAGGGCACAGGGCCCTGGTGGGTGGGACGGAGGTGCCGGGAGGGGCTCAGCAGTGGGCTGTGCGGGGCGCTGGTGATGGGTGAGGACAGAGCCGCTTGGGCTTTGTTCTGGGTGAGGAGGGTGATGAGCAGGCTGGCAGCTGGGCGATGATGGAGAGGCAGGGAGGCCCTGAAGAATCCCAGGAAAGCAGCAAAATCAGCTGGGATTGGAGAGGAGAGAGGAAGGAGTCGGGGCTTCCCCTGCATTCCTGGGGAGAGAACTCATGAATGCGCTCAGGGTCAATGGAAGGAGTGTGTCTTTCCAGAAAAACTGAGTGACTGATAGCTCTATTTTCAGCCGCAGGACAAGGCGAACATCTCCTGTCTTGTTCTACTCACTTAGTCAGATGCTGTTAGAATTCGATCCCTGCAGCTGCCGCGATGGAAGCTCCACAGACCAGGCGCTAAAGCAATGGAAACTCCGTCTCCCCACCTGGAGGTCAGGGGCTGAGAGCAAGGCCCGCAGACTGACCCACCCCGCGCCTCCCCGCCTCGCGGGTCCCTGGCTCGTGAACACTCCACTCCCAGCTCCGCCTGTGTCTTCACATGCTGCCCCCCCCGTGTGTGCATCTGCGTCCAAACCCCTCCTTCTGAGAGGGCCACCTGCCTCATGGGGTCACGGCCACCTGCCCGTGACGCCCTCTTAACAAGCTCCATCTGCAATGTGTGCTCAATCGCTCAGTCATGTCCGACTCTGTGCAGCCCCATGGGCTGTATGCAGCCCGCCAGGCCCCTCTGTCCACGGGATTCTCCAGGCAGGAACACTGGAGTGGTTGCCATGCCCTCCTCCAGGGACCTTCCCCACCCAGGGACAGAACCCCCGTCTCCTGCACTGCAGGCAGATTCTTTACCTCTGAGCCGCCTGGGCAGCCCCATCTGCAACAACCTCATCCCGGGATAAGGTCTCATCTCAGGAACCGAGGATGTCAGCGTGTCTTTCGAGGAGCACATAATTCAACCCGCTATCATTGTGCTTTTAGGGGCTAAACGTTTTCATTACATAAAGGCCAGTTTTTATTACTTAAAAGTTTCTAGTTCCCCTACAATCGTGAGCTCAGAGGGGATATATTTTGCAAATCCTGCTCCAAATATCAACCAGAGGAAGCCACCAAGTCATGAAAAGATGCTTATCTCCTCCGCCAGCCTGGATTGGCCAATGTCTTAGGCAATGCTGGATGTCTGGGGTTCAAGCTGTGGGTTGGATGGCTTCCCGGATGGATGGACAATGTGGGACCACCCAGACAGACTGCCTGGCCTCCTCACCCGGGATGGACTGCCAGGGAGGCTCCCCAGCCAGCAGCCCCAGCAAAGGGTGTGGGGAAGGGGCAGAGGCTGGCCAGGCTAAAGAGAGCACCACAGACCTCGCCCTGGACGGACGGGCGCCCCAGGCTGGCTGTTCCGTCGGGACATGCGGGGACAAGGTGCCCCTGCCCTCCTGCCTCTACTTTTGGTGCCTCTCCACTGAGTTTGTTCAAGGTCAGAGGTCGCTGCGGTCCTCAGGCCAGGGTGAATGAGGGGAACAGCATGTCCTTGTGTCCATGTGCAAGGCTGGCCACGGGGGTGCACGTGGGGAACGCGGCAGCCAAGGGTTCCGCTGTCCACACTTGCAGGGGGCGAAGCTGGTGATTAGCTGACCGCCGGGTCAGCCTCGTCATCTCCCCGAGCGCGTGACCATCACGTTCGGATGAGACTTCAGTCCAGGGTGACGCAGCGCACCCTCCCGGAGCACAGCACCCCAAAATCATGGTGGGGCAAGATGCAACGTGAGCAATTAACCAAGAAAAACTATCCGGGGAGCTACCGGGGAGATCGTTAGAGCGGAAAAACAAGCAGGATAATTACACAAAATGCCTCCACCAACTCAGAGGAAGCGCGGGGCTCAGAATGGCTGGTAGCAGCTGGAGCGAACCCTCTGATCGTGGCAATCGGATGTTTCGAGGAACACATTTTCTGTAAGAGGCAAGTGTATTTTGGTCTTCTGGGAGGTGAGTGTGCCAGGGGCCTCACAGGGGCAGGGAAAGCTTCCTCACTGAAGACAAAGCCCCGAGCCTTGACTCAGAGTCGGGACGGGAGGCGGGTTTAGGTCACGGCCATCCGTGCGGTTTCTGAGCGCAGGAGGCTGGGTGCTCTCACATGGGTGGCGGCCAAAGGCAGGCAGTGGGTGGGCTGGAGAACACCTCCTGTCTGGTTTGGTTTGGGGTCGTTCCCACCCCCCAGCAACTCCACAGCCCAAGTCTTGGGCAAAGCGCTGCTGCTACCTGGACTCACAATATGCAACTCCCCACCCCTCAAGGGGTCTTCAGACCAGAACGAGTGGTGAACAGGAGCCCAAATAAACCCAGCACAGGCTCAAGCCAGCAGCAAACGCTGATGCTGGGCGGGCAATGATGGGACCAGAAAGCAAAGAACTCTTTTTTCTCAGTCTGAATTTGTAGTTCAACCTGGGTTTCCCAGGTGACTCAGTGGTAAAGAGCCCACCTGCCAATGCAGAGCTGTGGGTTTGATCCCTGGGCCAGGAAGGTCCCCCAGGCCACGAAGCAGTGAAGCCCATGAACCACAACCACTGAGCCAGCGCTCTAGAGCCCAGGAGCCACAACTGCTGAAGCCCACGGGCCCCAGAGCCCAGAGGAGCCTCCGCAGTGAGGAGCCCACGGGCCCCAGAGCCCACGGGCCCCAGAGCCCAGAGGAGCCACCGCAGTGAGGAGCCCACGGGCCCCAGAGCCCGCAGGCCCCAGAGCCCAGAGGAGCCTCCGCAGTGAGGAGCCTGAACACAGAGAGTGGCCGCCGTACAGCGCAGCCAGGGAAAGGCCCGCGCAGCAGCCAGGACCCCGCACAGTCATAAACAAGTCAACAGAAACAAGCTTTACACTTGCATTCAGTCCTTATTTTACCTTAGAGTGAACCACTCTAAATTCCCCTGATAGCAAAGCCTGTAGAAAATGAAGTAAGGCCTTAAGGTTTATCTGTGCTGCTTTTGCCCACGTGAGTCCACCCGTGGCAGTCTCTCAGTTTCCTTTTTCCTAATGGGGAAACAAATGTCTGTGAACAAATGTCTGTATTATTTTATTTGCATGTTTTCCAGCATATTATTTTTAACACTCTTGGAAATAACATATCAAACACACATTCATAAAAAATCATAGTTCTGTTCCAAGCTTTTTAGTGAAAAAAAAAATATATATATAGCTAAGTTTAACATCTAGAGAAGTTGTGAACTAATAAAATGTTTGAATGGTAAGTAAATTTAGTATCTGAATAATATATTATTTCATACATAAGTTTCAGAAATGTAAAATTTTCTTTTGATCAAGTTTTGTTTAGATATTAAGCCATTAGGTCCCCCAAAAGACCTAATTATTTGTAATCGCCATTTAAGAGTAATGAATTAAATTAGCCTCATATGTTAAGGTTATTTGGTTAAGCATAAAATTGCCATATTGCCTAGGTCAAAAAATGTTTTGATGTCGTCAATTTTACTTGATTCAAACAATATTTATGTAGACAGATTACAGACTGATTCAAATACACATGCAGGAAACACTTCTAATAGCCCCAGTTTAAGATTCTGTGCAAGTTTAAAATGTATACACGATAAAAGATACTTCTGAGTAGATACGGAGTTCTATGAACGCGTGTAGTATCTCACCCTGTAACGGAAGGATGTTTCCTTATGTCTGAGGAGACTATTTTCTACTCTGGATGTCTCTTAATGCTTACAGGGGGCTTCTCCTCACCTCTGGGACCAGGGGCCCGCCGGCGGCGGCCCCCCCGAGGGCCCGGGGCCCCCTCATCTGCAGGGCTCGGGGGTGGGACACACAGGCCCACACTTCCATGCGCCGTGGTTTGGAAAAGGCGCTAACACCGCCCAGGCCACTGTTCCGCTCCACCTCACGAGCAGTCCCTGTGCTGACTTTCAGAAACGTGTTTCAGCAGCAACCTCTGACTCTCACGGGGTGAGAGGTTTACACCTTCTGGGTCTTGCTTTACCCGTGCTTTGCAAGGCATTCATGTTCCTTTAGGGCGTAGGCTGTAGAATGGATGAATGACTGAGTGAATGAATGGAAGTGAAGTAGAAGCTGAGGTTAGAACATCCGCATAAGGGCTGTGCTCAGCATCCAGGACGATTGGGCCTTTCATGAAAGTCTGATAACCCTCATGAGTTTCTCTTCTGTTGGAAGCCTATGAGTTCAGCGTGTTCTAATTATACTGAAGTATGATCCTGCCTTATCTGGGACCATGACAATCACACCTGTCTAGCTTTCTTCTTATTTTTTATGTCATCGTCAGTAAATAAATGTTTGCTCACATCTACTGAGCCCAAGGCACTGTCTGGGCCTGGAAAATCCAGTGGTGAATGAAAAATAGGGTCTCAGTCGTTTACCTGCTAAGTTGTCTGTAGAGAGAAAGGCTCTATATTCAGAACTTTTAGTATAAAGAAGTGTTAACATTAGCAATGAACTGCATGCCAGAGCCAGCCCGCCCTGTAAGTAAATCCTCCTTGTAAGTCTTTTTAATTTTTATTGGATTAGAAATAACTTCCTGGGCCAACAGCCAAAGGAAAGCTGCTTGGAGGAAGACACGGGGGAGCCTGCCTCTGCTGCAGCCTCTGCTGAAGCTCCAATCCTTTGGCCACCGGATGTGACGAACCTACTCATTAGAAAAGACCCTGATGCTGGGGAAGATTGCAGGCAGGAGGAGAAGGGGATGACAGAGGATGAGATGGTTGGATGGCATCACTGACTCAATGGACATGAGTTTGAGTGGACTCCAGGAGCTGGTGATAGACAGGGAGGCCTGGCGTGCTGCGGCCTGTGGGGTCGCAAACAACTGAGCGACTGAACGACACAGCTTCTGCTTCTGTGCCTCGGCCTCCCTCCTACCCACACTTGTCACTTCTGCTCAGAGGTTTAAACCCCGAGTCACCTCTCTCAAGTCTGCAGGGGGTGGTCAGGAGGGAAGGGAGTGGGGACCACAGAGGGGTGTCCATGGTCAGCGTCAGGGGCGTGCGGACACCCCCGTCCCATCTCCCCACCCGGGAGCCATTCACACTGCGGGCGAGAGCGGCCAAAGGAGGCGCCTGCAGGCACACACGCACATACATTCCCAGGGGGACAGTTTTGACAGCTTTGACTTTCAACGATCATAAAATCCACAGGTGGCTTTTCCGTGTAATGACATAAATAATTTAACAATCAGTAAGAACTTAAAACCAAACAAATAAACTAAGGCCGTTTAGGGACTCAGAGACGTCCTTGCCAAAGACCCCTCCTCCTCTGGAGACGCCAGGTCCATGCGGCCCCAAGGCTGCGCCTGCCCCTCGCTGGGGGGCCTACTGGGTCCCTTGTCGAGTTTCCCCCTAGCCCAGCCCAACTCTGAGGCTGTGGTGCCCAGGGCCCAGCCTTCAGCTTCTTCCTCCCACCTCCCTGCTTTTGACTGGGGCTCCCGATGTCACGATGGGACGTGGCCCCCCACCCAGAGATGCAGATGGGAGGAGCGTGGGATTGGAGTCCGTGGTCTCAACTTGGTGACTTGGAGTCGCAGGCACCCTGGACCAGGGACACCAGGGCATCGGTGGACAGGCTGTTCCTCAGTGATGCCCGTGGACCCCAGGGTCTAAGGTGCTGCCCAGGGAGACCCACGGAACAGGTGTGACTCCTGAGGAGCGGGCGGGAACTCACGCCCAGGCTGTGGACACAGGGCGCCCAATCAGAAAGCCTACTTGATGCAAGCACGTCTAGATGCAACCGTGGAAAGCAGGCTGCTGCCTGAACAGCTGACATGATGTGCGAAAAAGCCCCTGCTGGAAATGCTCTAACCTTAAAAAAAGCTTCCTTACAACCTGTGTGACTTTGCTCAGGCTGCCACAGCAAAGCGGACGGGGTGGCCTCGCCCAGGGAAGTTCTCTGCTCTCAGTCCTGGACGCTTCGAGGCCGGCATCCAGGTGCGGGCTGCCAGCCCCCGAAGCTCCCCTTGGCGGTCTCTCCACCTTGGCCTCTGGGGTCATCCCCTGTGTGTGTCTGTGTCCCGACCTCTTCTTCTCTTAAGTCAGACTAGATTGGGGCCCACCCCCGGGTCTCACTCTTAGCTTAGTTGCCTCTTTCAAGGCCCAACCCCGAATGCAGTGCCTCCCTGAGGTCTTGGGGTTGGAGCTTCAGTATGTGGGGTTTGCGAATGTGACTCAGCCAGTGACACAGCCGTGGGAGCAAACGCAGGGTGTGGTTCACATGGGGCTCCTCTGGCTGTTAGGACTTTTTCCAGCAAGTGAGAAGCCCGCCCCCCTGGCCCAGGGCTGAGAGCCCAGCAGCCCGGAAAGAGCCTCTGGGAGGGCTTCCTGTCCTGCCCTCACGGTGACGCTTGGCCAACATGAGTGAGCCTCCAGTGACCTGCTCTGCGGGAAGGTTTCCAACCCCGGCTGTGCGGGGCGCTTACCCTGACTCATGTGCACTCCCACAGGACCAGCGCCACCTCCCGGAGTCAGGGGCAGAATCTGCACCCCCACCTTTAGGGCTTCCCAGGGCCCCGCTCAATGCTGCGGTCTGCCTGTACCCTCCAGGCCTTCTGGCTGGTAATCACAGCACACTCTCTTTCCCATTTTGAAAAAGAAATATATACATTCACATTAAATATGTGTGTGTGTTTGTGTGTGTGTCGTGCTAAGTTGTGTCAGTTGTGTCTGAATCTGTGCAATCCCATGGATTGTAGCCCTCCAGACTCCTCTGTCCATGGCATTCTCCAGGCAAGAATACTAGAAAGCATTGCCATTTCCTCCTCCAGGGGATCTTCCCAACCCAGGGATTGAACTCAAGTCTCTTACGTCTCCTGCATTGGCAGGTGGGTTACTGACCACTAGTACCACCTGGGAAGCCCCAGATCTTCCAGACTGTGTGTCTGTGTTAGTTACTCAGTCATATTGACTCTTTTTGACTCGATGGACTGTAGCCTGCCAGGCTTCTCTGTCCATGGGGATTCTCCAGGCAAGAATACTGGAGTGGTTTACCATTTTCTTCTCCAGGGGATCCTCCCAACCCAGGGATCGAACCCAGGTCTCCTGCCTTAACGTGGATTCTTTGCTGTCTGAGCCAGCAGGGCCACCGAGAGAGAGAGGGGTGTCACGGGGTTTGGCTCACACACCCTCGGTCCGGCCAGGTGGGTCCGGTCTGTAGGCTGGCCGTCAGCCTGGGACCTCAGGCGGGAACTCCCTGCCTGGGATTTTCTGCTCCATCCTTAGGGAGACCTCAGTTCTGCTCTTAAGACCTTTCAACTAATTGGACCAGCCCCCACTCCCCATCAGAATTATCAAGGATAATCTCCTTTGTGCAATTGATTGCAGGTATTAATTATATCCACGAAACACCTTCACAGCAACAGTGAGATCAATGGTCTCACCGACACCGCAGTCCACCCCCGGTCAGAGGGCGGGCAGGTGCCTCCTGCAGCCCTGCCTCACCTCCAGATAAAGACAGCAGCACAGCCACACGTCTGCCCAACACGACGCGACCGAAAGCCTGCTCCCTCCACCGAGGAGGGCGGAGGAGCCTCGGAACGACATCCATTTCTGCCCTGACATCGCAGGGCTTACGTCAGGGAGAAACACAAAAGCGGGCATCCTGGTTTCTGCAGCTGACCACGCTGTCATGGCTGGTATTTGCCGCCATTTTTCTCCGGATTCCCCTCACTCTCAGCGAGCCTCCCAGCTGACCTCCCAGCTAGCCTCGCTCTTTACCAGGCAGGGTGACCCCAAGCTTCAGCCCAGATGGTCTGAGCCATTAGCAGGCCTGCCTGGACTGGGTCGCCACAGTTCTCAGGTGGCCTCACTCCCAGGACACGGAGATACTGAGAGACACCCAAGCCATCACCTGGGCTCCAAATACGCCCTTCCTCACCTCCACCGAGCAGCGGCCGGACTTCCCCTTGGCCGTCGCGATCACTCGCCCCAGCCAGGACAGGCCCTCCCTTCTTGCCTGTGGACTTGGAGGTATGAGGGGCTCAAAGTGGCCGGGGCGGCCGTCTCAACCTCAGGTCAAAGGAGCGTTGTCGCATCTCCTGACGGAAGCCTGCCTCCCTCCCGTGAGCGCTGATGTTAACAGGTCACCTGTGCTAACAGGGAGGGTGGTAACTGCATCCCTGCTGCCTGGCTCAGCCACCAGAGAAGTTGGCGGCACCACCTCCGTGGACACTGACTTGGAGCCTGGGTGGCTCTGGGGAGCCCTGCTGGGCTCCACCCAGCTGGCATTGTACCTGATCCTTCAGAAGGCCACGCCACGGCTCCAACTAGCCAGCTGCTCCCCGAGGGTGGAGACGCGGGGCTCGTGGGCCCGCACCTCACCTTCCTGTGAACTGAGCGTCCTGATGGGAAGGGGCTGCGTGGGGTACCCGGCAACGGTGAGGCGTCCTGCGCGTCCATGGTTGGCAGTCTGGGCAGAAGGACTGCACGAAGGGAGGAAATCCATAACCAAAGTGAGCATCCGTCCCAGCAAGACCAGAGCGCTGCTCCTTCCACGATGGAAGTGGTCCAGCGTCACCAGCCTGCCGCCAGCTGGCTGGCGGGTCTCCCCCAGGAAGAGTGCCCTCCCCAGTCTGGGTTCTGAGCATTGCTGTTTAGACTAGAACAGAAGACAGAGACCTCTAATGCAGCTCAAACTTGCTCAGTGAAACCAGGAAGTGAGGTGTGAAAATACCGGAAGTGAGGTGTGGGAACACCGGAAGCGAGGCGTGAAAACACCGGAAGTGGGGCTGAAACCACAAGTGAGGCTGAAACCACAGTGAGAAGGAGCAGCTTTGAGCCCTTGCTGCAGCCCTCCGGGGGCCTCGCCGCCCAGAAGCCACCCTTCCTGTCTTTCCTCCTGTCATAGCCCTGATTTTACTCAGAGTCAGTGAAACCCCTTGCTCTACTAGGAGGCACGCTCTCTCACCTCATGTGCAGGAGATAAACTATGGCTGGAGTGAGCAGTCGTGGGCTCCCCTCTGCCAGGGCTCGGCCTGAGGTCCATCCATGGCCTAGTTCTGATCAGCAGCTGTGAGAGAGAGTTGATAGACAGGTATTCTGGGAAATATCTCCCTTCCAGATGTAACACTATCTCTTCACAAGGAAAAATTCCCCCTTTCCATTGCCTCCTACTTTTCTGCTTGAGATACAGCAGTCTTTTGACCATAAGTCAACAAAATTAGGAGAGAAAAGACAAGCTCAAGAATATATTTCTGTGAATATTCATCACAGTCATTGATAAGAACAAAAATAAGGAAGGAAATTAAATGTTTAAAAGGGATTAAAATATAGATATATATCTATATGATGATAGTATACAACCATAGACATATTTGGCAAGAAAACATGGTTATGATCATTTGTTAGGGGACAAAATCAGGTTACAAATACTTTGTGCATGCATGCGTGCTCAGTCACTTCAGCTGGGTCTGACTCTTTGCAACCCCATAGACTGTAGCCTGCCAGGCTCCTCTGTCCATGGGATTCTCCAGGCAAGAATGCTAGAGTGGGCTGCCATTTCCTTCTCCAGGGGATCTTCCTGACTCAGGGATCGAACCTGGGTCTCCTGTGTCTCCTGCATTGGAGGCAATTCTTTACCACTATGCCACCTGGGAAGCCACAGATAGTTTGTAGGAACCGTTTTTTGTGAATATGTGTGAGTTTGTATAAAAAAGAAAGAAAGTGGGAGGTTACAGACTAACATGGCAACACTGGAAACCTTCCAAAGGGGGAATTATGGGTAATTTTTTTCTAAATGGAAATAGAGAAAAGCCCTGTTTTCCCAACATTGTTGAGTCTTTGGCTCCACAGAACCACCTGCTAACAGGTGTTTCTTCATAAGCTAGCTAAATATCCATCCTACTTCCAATATGTTTGTAATTTCTGGTATTTTCAGTTGAACACTTACTGACGCACTGCATATATTTCTGAAAGGGTTCCTCCTCAGTCACTAAAGGTGTCCTGCAATGGCTCAGCAGTAAAGAACCCCCCTGCCCATGCAGGAGATGCAGAGACTCGGGTTTGATCCCTGGGTCAGGAAGAGCCCCTGGAGGAAGGCATAGCAACCCCCTCCAGCATTATTGCCTAGAGAGTCCCATGGACAGAAGAGCCTGGTGGGTTATAGCCCAGAAGGTCGCACAGAGTCAGACACAGCTGAGTTCAATGTGAGGAGCAGTGGTAGGAGGGCACCTCAACAGGCGTGTTCACCTGGCGCTCTGATACGCTTCGTCTCTTCCAGATCTCCTCTCTTCTCCATGACCTGTTCCTGCCTTTCCCAGGAACACAGCGGCCAGGGCCTTTTCTGTTTGTGCCTTCCCAGCCTCTGTTCTCCAGACTGCTGTCCCCTCGCTGGACAGAGAGCACTGTGCACACGAGAGTGTAACACACACCCGTCTCCCTCGATCGTCCCTGCATCCTTCATTGCCCCCATCCTCACTGCACCCTTCCTTCCTCCCCTCCTCCCCTCCCCCCTCCTCCCCTCCTCCCCCCCCTCCTCCCCTCCCCCCTCCTCCCCTCCCCTCCTCCCCCCTCCCCTCCCTCCTCCCCTCCCTCCTCCGTCTCCCCAGGGCCCCAAGCTCCTATCACTGTCAGCTCCATTACTCACACACTGTACTTCTCCCACTTACATTAGGTGATTATTACTCCCTCCTCCCTCCTCCCCTCCCCCCTCCTCCCTTCTCCCCTCCTCCCCTCCCCCCTCCTCCCCTCCCTCCTCCCCTCCCTCCTACCCTCCTCCCCCTCCCTCCTCCCCTCCCTCCTCCCCTCCCCCCTCCGTCTCCCCAGGGCCCCAAGCTCCTATCACTGTCAGCTCCATTACTCACACACTGTACTTCTCCCACTTACATTAGGTGATTATTACTCCCTCCTCCCCCCCCCTCCTCCCCTCCCTCCTCCCCCCTCCCCTCCCTCCCCTCCTCCCTCCTCCCCTCCCCCCTCCGTCTCCCCAGGGCCCCAAGCTCCTATCACTGTCAGCTCCATTACTCACACACTGTACTTCTCCCACTTACATTAGGTGATTATTACTCCCTCCTCCCTCCTCCCCTCCCTCCTCCCCTCCCCCCTCCTCCCTCCTCCCCTCCCTCCTCCCCTCCCCCCTCCGTCTCCCCAGGGCCCCAAGCTCCTATCACTGTCAGCTCCATTACTCACACACTGTACTTCTCCCACTTACATTAGGTGATTATTACTCCCTCCTCCCCCCCCCTCCTCCCCTCCCTCCTCCCCCCTTCCCTCCCTCCCCTCCTCCCTCCTCCCCTCCCCCCTCCGTCTCCCCAGGGCCCCAAGCTCCTATCACTGTCAGCTCCATTACTCACACACTGTACTTCTCCCACTTACATTAGGTGATTATTACTCCCTCCTCCCTCCTCCCCTCCCTCCTCCCCTCCCCCCTCCTCCCTCCTCCCCTCCCTCCTCCCCTCCCCCCTCCGTCTCCCCAGGGCCCCAAGCTCCTATCACTGTCAGCTCCATTACTCACACACTGTACTTCTCCCACTTACATTAGGTGATTATTACTCCCTCCTCCCCCCCCCTCCTCCCCTCCCTCCTCCCCCCTCCCCTCCCTCCCCTCCTCCCTCCTCCCCTCCCCCCTCCGTCTCCCCAGGGCCCCAAGCTCCTATCACTGTCAGCTCCATTACTCACACACTGTACTTCTCCCACTTACATTAGGTGATTATTACTCCCTCCTCCCTCCTCCCCTCCCTCCTCCCCTCCCCCCTCCTCCCTCCTCCCCTCCCTCCTCCCCTCCCCCCTCCGTCTCCCCAGGGCCCCAAGCTCCTATCACTGTCAGCTCCATTACTCACACACTGTACTTCTCCCACTTACATTAGGTGATTATTACTCCCTCCTCCCCCCCCCTCCTCCCCTCCCTCCTCCCCCCTTCCCTCCCTCCCCTCCTCCCTCCTCCCCTCCCCCCTCCGTCTCCCCAGGGCCCCAAGCTCCTATCACTGTCAGCTCCATTACTCACACACTGTACTTCTCCCACTTACATTAAGGTGATTATTACTCCCTCCTCCCTCCTCCCCTCCCTCCTCCCCTCCCTCCTCCCCCTCCCCCCTCCCCTCCCCCCTCCGTCTCCCCAGGGCCCCAAGCTCCTATCACTGTCAGCTCCATTACTCACACACTGTACTTCTCCCACTTACATTAGGTGATTATTACTCCCTCCTCCCTGCTTTTTCTTTGCTCTCTTCCCCAAAAGGGGGGTGGGTGGGTATTAATACAAACATTCTTTATTATTTTGGCAAGGAAAACAAATGGGAATCAAGTAGTCTACTTCCTGTCAGGGTGCTGATGAAGAGAAGCATCAATAAACAGAACAGTCTCCTGAGCTGCTGGCTCGCAATCCCATGCAGGAAGTAGAATAAAGCGGATCCTGACCCAGAGACTGATGCGGTGTGTTCACGCCAAGCGCTGCGTTGCACGCCCCCACCATGGCTGCTTTTTGTCTGTTAACCTTTAGCTGAATGGAGACTGGTCCTAACTTGCTCAGGGTCCACCTGCAGCCCAGCCCCTGGCCCCGTGATTCCCGGGGCTCCTCCTCCGCCCGCTCCCCTGCCTGCCCCTGCCTCCCTGACGTCACCCAGCCCTGCTCCTCTCGCAGGTCCCCTCGAGGGGCCACCTGCTTGACCCCAGGGATCTCCAGGCATACAGATGCCATGTGCCCCGAGTGGCCTGTACACACCTGTGGGAAGGGAGACAGGAGATGGACCAACAGACAGAGAGAGGCTAAGAGGCTTGTTCCAGCAGAAATCCACCCCTGGGATGTAAGAAGCTCTGCTCCTCCCTCCATGAAGGCCCTGGTGGTGATCCCAAGGGGCCTCAGGCAGAGGCCGGTCAGGACAGGAAAGATCGTGTCTCAGAATCCGGGGCGCCTGGGAAAGCAGCATCAAGGTTGGAGAGGGAGCCCGACTCCCCCCAAGGCCTGACCCAGACAGGGCTCGGCTCCCCCCAGTGCCTGACCCAGACGGGCCCCAGACGCGCGACCCAGACGGGGCCTGGCTCCCCCCAGGACCCGATGCAGACAGGGGGCCTGACTCCCCGCAGGGCCCGACCCAGACAGGAGACCTGACTCCCCGCAGGGCCCGACCCAGACGGGGGCCTTCCCTACTTAGGCTGCTTCTAGGACTCCCTCGTGCTGGGGCTGTTCCTGGGGTCACTGGGGGTGAGGGCCTGGACAAGCTGGCAGGAAGCAAGAGAGGAGACCCCAAACCAGACTGTCCCTCTGTGCTCTGTCTCCACCATCTGCGTCTGCATCACCTGTGTCTACATCTCCATCTAACTACCTATCTATCCTACCGCCTACTTATTATCTATGTTCTAGCTATTTATCTATCTAGTTACCTATCTATCTATATCTATCTGTCATATATCTGTCTACCTATCTAGCTAGCTACCTGTTTATCTATTTATCATCTAGCTAGCTAGCTAGCTAGCGACCTGTCTATCATCTATCTATTTATCTATCTACCTATCAATCAACACCCCTGAGAAACCTCCCTGGTAACTGACACTGTGAGTGCTGTAGGTCAAGGCACCCCTGTCTACTCTGCGAGCTGGCTAAAGTTCTGTGTGCCCCCCAGGTTTGGGGTCACAGCCCATTGGGGTCACTGCTGTGATTGGGGTTACACCTGTCTGCTGTGGAAGCCTCTGGCCCAGAGGTCACAGGAACAAGCTCCAAAAGGCAGGAGCACAGCTGTGGGTCTGAGGTCCAAGTCCACCATCAAGTAGCTGGTGATGGATCAGTCTCTACACCTATAAAACAAGGTTCCGGAACCGAGCTCCCCTTCCCCGTAAGCTGCCAGGACCTGACAATCTCACTCTCAAGCTAAGCAAGTACGCAAGTCAGCAGCGGCAGCACAGAAAGCAAAGCACACGGTGTGGACTGTGTTTAAAGAAAGCAGTCCCATTAGAAAGAGTCGAGAAGGGCTCCGGGTCGCAGCATCACTGACCGACTAAAGAGGACGCCGACCGCGTCCCGCACCCTCTGCTCCTCATTCTGCCAGCACTGCTTTTACCCTGCAATAAGTTTTCCACACAGAGTTTGTCTAGCATCCAACACTGAGGTCTCTAAAAACATCAAAGCTACAAAATGAATTTCCAAGTTGGTTAAAAAAAACCGCCGTTCTCAAACTAAATCGGCTGGTTTTCTCAAATCTCTTTGTAGAAGGTATTCAGTAAGTGCCAACAACTTGCTTGGGGCCCAGGCGTTCAGGGTCAGCAGTGGCCTGAATCTGGGGTCTCCCAAGGTCTTGCCTACCCCCCACCTCGGGGCCCGGCCCGCCTCGGCCCCTGGCCTAGGGCCCACTCGGTGAGTGTGGGAGCCCAGCCACACACACAGAAATGTGGAGAAAAAGCCTGGAGAGACTGCCACCAGAATCCTCGTTTTTTATAAGATTTATTTTATTTGCATTTATTTTGAAAGCCGCCCCCCGCCACACACACTCAGGAGACCCATCTGTTAAATCCTTTGTCTTCCAGACCATTTCCAAAGGTGTGACCTGTTTTAAGAGAAGGTGAAATTTGAGGGGGGAAAACCCTACAGTGCAGAAACATTAAGGATGACTATTCACATGTCTAAAAAAAATGCACTGCTTTATGGAAGATTCATTGCAGTGTTTTTTTTTTTTAAGTTCTATACAATTCCAGTGTGTTTTAAATGCCTTTCAGTTAGAAGAACTGATTCACACTCACCTTTCTTTCAACTTTGTTTCACCTAAGGGGTAACGTGGTGGAAGTCATCGCCCCCATTTTCCTTCTGGGGAATCCCGGGTTTCCCCAGAGCTGGACGCACCAGCATTAAGCTGACAGGGCGCTGATGGCAGACAGAGTCTTGTGAGGTCTTCGCCGTGTCCTGCCGTCAGTTCGGAGGGAGTCACCCACCCTGAGGCCTCAGTCTGTCCTTCTGCAAAGTGGGAACAGCCTTACTGACCGCACCAGCATCTCAGGACGGTGCTGGGTTCACAAAGCGAGACAACCAAGGCCCACCCCGACATGGCCCGCGGGTGTGCCAGGAACAAACGGGCCACCTGCTTGTGGTGGGCGCCCCCGCCTCCCCAGACAGAGACTCAGGGTCACGGTGGCCTGCAGCCTCTACCCAAGGTGGATGCCTTCCTGCCGTGTCCTCCCATCCTCCCCTGGAATCTGTCTGACCCCTGCCCTGTCTCCTCAGGCCACATGGTCCCGGGCCTGTGCCCAGAGGGCACAGGGGAACAGACTGGCCGTTACCCGAGGGGTCACACCTCGGACCAGCACTGTTTCCCACCCGTTAACTCAGTAAACTGGTGCGCCCCCTTTCTGTGAAGGCAGGAGGACCCCCACCCCTGAGCGAATGAAGAAGCCAGAGCTCCCCCATCTCCGTGACCTGTCCCGGGGACACAGCGGGGCAGGCCCGGTGGCCCTGGGTCCCGTCTCCTGGACATGGAGGCCGTGTTCTGACCATGTCAGAAAGGCCCCCCTTCCATTTCCAGCATCACAGGGAGAGGGGCGCAGCATGGCTGCCTGTCAGCCGTGTGAGCGCAGGGGCGCGGGGCTCCCCCCGGAAAGACTCCAGCTCACGTGGGCCCACCTGCGGCCACGCCGCACGGCTCCTCCCCGGGCACCCGAAGGCACACCTCCTGGGCCCCCGACGGCCAACGTGGCCCTCGCCTGGTGACCCCCAGGACTGTGCTTCTGGGAACAGTCCACCCACGCGTGTCACAGCTGCTGTGGGACGGGGGTCAGGGAACGGGACAGGGGCCGGGTGAGGGCAGGCCCCCGGGGACCCCGGCGGGCAGGGGCTGGGTGAGGGCAGGCCCCCGGGGACCCCGGCGGGCAGGGGCCGGAGAGGACAGGCCCCCGGGGATCCCGGTGGGCAGGGGCCGGTGAGGACAGGCCCCCGGGGACCCCGGCGGGCAGGGGCTGGGTGAGGGCAGGCCCCCGGGGACCCTGGCGGGCAGGGGCTGGGTGAGGGCAGGCCCCCGGGGACCCCGGCAGGCAGGGGCCGGTGAGGGCAGGCCCCCGGGGACCCCGGCGGGCAGGGGCTGGGTGAGGGCAGGCCCCCGGGGGCCCCGGCGGGCAGGCTACACCGATGCTCGCGGGGACGGTCCCCAGCGTCAGCGCTGACGAGCACCTGGAAGAGAAGACGCACTGCTGGAGTCCTCACTCGTCAACTCCCAAGTGCTTGTCATTTTTCGCACAGGCATTCTTAGGTTATCTCTCAGGAGCATGGCCGTGCAGAGTAAAGGACCGTCTCCACGCGGAGCTGCAGGTCCCAGACGGGGGATACGCAGGGACGGGGACCCTGTGACCAAGGACGCGGGCCGCTCCGCCACCCGCCCGCGTTCTAGTCCCAGCCTGGGACCCCTCTTCCTCAGCCCCGGGGGGCGAGGACGTCCTCACCCCCGTTCTCCGCCCCAAGTCGGGCCTCTGTGGTCCTGAGAGCTCGGAAGGTGCCGGGTGAGGACAGAGGGGCTTTCCCAGGCTGACCCCGTGGGAAGGGCCCCGATGGGGGTCCTTTGATCTTCCTCCCCCAGACCTCAAATCTGAGCCCCGCCGCTCACCCCTCAGCGCCTGCTTCTCTAAGCAGCCCTTGAGGACTGTGCTGCCGGCCAAGCGCGGGGCAGCCGGCAGGGAGGGCGGCAGTGGGGGCTCCAGACACAGGGCGGGGCGGGTCCTGCTGGCGCCCGGGCACCTCCCTTCCCTCGCCGCCCTGCCGGCCGCAGGCAGGCCTCGGGACGCACATACGTGCACCGTGCGCGCCCGCGGGGACGCCCACCTCCCAGCCCTGCGCGCCCGGCCTCCCCAGGCTGCGGCCCCGCAAGACACTCGTCTCACAGGGTCAGTCACGGGAGCAGGAACTCGTGACAGAGGCGCCTGGGGAGGAGGCGGGAGGAGACGAGAGGCTCACGACCGTGAGAAAGTTGTGCCCAACGGAAAATCAAGCTGGGTGGCCTTCCCGGGCCTCCTTGTCCCCCCTTTTCTGCCAGAGAGCAAAAGCCCAGTTGCTGACCTTTGTGGGACTGACGGCGACGTCACACAGTCGGCTCGGGCGGGGCCCTGACCGTCCAGCTGCCCACCTGGCAACTTGCTCGTCGAGAACTCTTCGTGTAAAGAGAGAAGCCTCTTTCTGAGGCGACGGCCGACAAGGCCTCTGCTGACAGAGAGACCAGGCCCCGAGAGGCTCTGGTCCAGCAGTCGCGACGGGAGGCAGCGTGGGGAGGGGGCTGCCGAGGGCGCGGCGCCTGCCGGAGGGGACGCAGGGACGCTTGCTCAGGGGGGCAGACACCGCGGGGCAACGAGCCAGCTCCGCCCAGGGCCCAGGGCCTCGGGCTGCCCGGGCGGACCTTCCAGGGAAGGCCCTCACTCACTCGCAGATGTGTGCACACGCGCGTGCACACACGTACACGTGTGCACACCCACGCGCCCGCACTTACACGTGCGCACTCGTGTGCACACTCACGCACTTACATGTGCGCGCGCACTCACGCACACACGCACAGATGTCAGGCTCTTCCCTTTACAAACGTCACTGCCTGGAAGGCCACCCCCACAGCATCCTCAAAGCACCACCTAAAAACACTCAGAAAACCGTCTGACAGAAGGCGAAGGCCGTGTTGATTAAAAGGAAATGAGACTGACTTCTCTTGGGAGACACTTGTCCATCGCCGGTAAAAGCGCGTGTCGAGGTAACGCGTCTGCTGGTTTCAGAGCAGACAGACGTGGCGCCCGGGGACACGCGCGACGCAGAGCAGAGAGCCTCTCGACACGCACGCCTCGCGCCCTCCTCTCTGCTCGTCCTGCCGTCAAGCCGGACGCACGCACGCCGACTGTCTGATGCCACCGACGCGTGTTTGGCTTCCGTACCAGCACTTTCATCCCGTTATGGTTTCTGCCCAAACGGAGGCCTGCAGACACAGGAACCAGGCTCGGGTCGCAGACGGCAGCTTGAGAGCCTCGCGCGTGGGGTGTGGGGGCGGGACGCTGTTCTGCGACCTCTCCCCCCAGCCACCCAGCCTCCCGCCCGAGATGCCCGTCGATGTCGTCAGGTCTGAGCCGGGTCCACTCCGGGGGCGGACTAGGCCGGCTCGGAAGGACACGCTGCTCAGCCTGCTTTCAGCAGGTAGTTCGAGGCCCGGAGATCTTTGGGTGCCTCAGCCCCGCCCTCCCCGGGCTCGGCACACGTCCATCCTGCTGGCTGCGAGGCGTCTGCGGGTGAGAGGCAAGGTCGTGAAAGGGGTGCTGACTGCCCACCAAGACCCAGGCGTAGGGGGTCCCCTTTGTGTCTGATCTCCCACCCCTGGTCTGTGGGAACCGCACAGAAGAAGGCTGTGCAGAGTCAGGGGCGGCAGCCGGCTCCTGGCTGACACTGTCCGGGGGCTGCAAACGTGCTGACGCCTCCCCAGGCGCTGGCCGCCAGGTCCCAGCCTCCTTCACGCTCTGCGGGTGAGCCCCGGGATTCCCCTGGGAATCGGCAGCCTCTGGGGGCCGGGGGTGGTGCGTCCCCCAGGGCACCCGAGGCCTGGCCTTCCCAGGAGTGGAGGAGGCAGCCCCTGCTTAGGGGTGGGAAGTTGGGGCTGAATCTCGGGCCAGAAAGGGAGCGTTCTGGAAGCAAGTCTGCATGAACACCCAAGGATCCTCTAGGGGGAAGGCTGAGTGCCGTCTGGAAGGGACCGCTGTTCCCCGGCAGTGGGGACTGTGTCTTCCGGCCCGAGACTCCCTGTCTTCCTCACCTTCCTTTGATGGAGAATACAGGTTTTTGAGAAAATCTTAAACGCCACAGGTGAAAGAGCTCTTCAACCTCAGGACGCTGTCCACGAGGTCGTTCCCCTCCAGACCGGAGGGCCCAAGCCAGAGGCCCCGTTCCCCGCCACCGTGGGGGCTCATCTAGTTCTCAGAAAAGGGAAAAGCATTTCCGGAAATAGCCTAACGCTCACTGATTTTCAGAAAAGAGAGGTGGACTCTCAGTGCCTATTTATTTTTTGCTTTCTTTTTCTAAGAACACAGGTCATGACTCCACTTCAAATTACTAACTTGTGTGACTGTGTTCCTTTACGTGGAACATTAATTTCGAAAACAGATGAAAAGCCTGACATAAATCGAGAGGGACTTCAGGTAGTTTAGCATGGATCTTTGTGACAGCAAAGGCTGCACTGTGTCCTGACACCAAAATATCCTTTTCTCCCCCTGAAAACAGGTATTTGTAAAATTAACTCAAAAGCCTCTTTAATTTAAAAATAAGAAGTGGGTTCTGGCCCAGGGTTCCAGGCACGGCTGATGGTCACTGGGTGACTAACCCACTACAGATGGTTGAGGGTCCACAGTCTCCTCTCAGGAAAGCCCCCTGCCCTCCAGGGCTGGCAAGCTCTATTTCTGCGGAGCACCCTCTGTGCTGCTGGCAAGCAGCATCAAGCCAGTCTGCTTTCAGGTATGATTTACAGAGGAATGAGTTACAAAAGCATCAATTCTTCGGTGCTCAGCTTTCTTTATGGTCCAATTTTCACATCCATACATGACTACTGGAAAAACCATCACTGACTAAATGGACCTTTGTCGGCAAAGTAATGTGTCTGCTTTTTAATATGCTGTCTAGATTGGTCATAGCTCTTCTTCCAAGGAGCAAGTGGCTTTTAATTGCATAGCTGCAGTCAACATCTGCAGTGATTTTGGAGCCCAGGAACTGACTCATCAGAAAAGACCCTGATGCTGGTAGAGACTGAAGGCAGAGGAGAAGGGGACAACAGAGGATGGGATGGTTGGATGGCATCACTGACTCGATGGACATGAGTTTGAGCAGGCTCTGGGAGTTGATGAAGGACAGGGAAGCCTGACGTGCTGCCATCAATGGAGGGGCAAAGAGACAGAGCTGAGTGACTGAACTGAACTGAGTTACAAAGACAACACGATGTCTCCCCACGCCTGCCATGGAGCACATCCATCTCAGCTCTCCCAGCTTCCCATTTGTATTTTGTACATGAAAAAAAGGAAGCTTTAATACAATGTCTGTGTGTGAATAGTTTTAAAACCAAAAACACAATTCCGACATGTAGCCTATGTTCTTTTCCCCACAGACCTCTTCGACACTGACACTGTATCGGGTTTTTTTTTTTTTTTTTTTTTAATTTTATTATTTATTTATTTATTTATTTATTTATTTTTCACAACCATAGTGTATCTTTTTTTTTTTTTTTTACATGTATTCCCCATCCCGGTCCCCCCTCCCACCTCCCTCTCCACCCAATCCCTCTGGGTCTTCCCAGTGCACCAGGCCCGAGCACTTGTCTCATGCACCCAACCTGGGCTGGTGAACTGTTTCACCCTAGATAATATACGTGTTTCAATGCTGTTCTCTATTCTGTTGCTTACAATATGTTACAAAAAGAAAAAGCAGAGAGTTCTATCTTAGACAGGAGAAAGCTATCTTACACGTTTTCCAGGAAACCTTTAAAATAATCTTTAAAAGTTTATGCATTGTTTTATGAGATTTAAAATATAAATTACAGGAGTATATTATTCTCTAATGAAACTCATTTTTGTAAGGTTTTGCAAATATTTCATCATTAACATTTTTCCTTTTTAAAAAATAAATTCAGGAATTTTTTTCCACATTGAATTTTTTCGTACTTTGTCGAACACAGGAGAAGTCACAAATGCAATGATTCTATCAATGCTATTGCCAATGCAGGAGGTAAGTTCTTAGACTGACTGTCAGAAAGACCAGACCAGCTGACCAGGGCCTGCGAGGCCCACCCTTCTCAGCCCACCTGACAATGGTGCTTCTTGATTTTATTTCCTGCCCATCTTTCTAAACAGAATCCATTAGAATTTAGCCTCCATAACCATGATCTGCATGCAGGAGAATGTTTTAAAATGCAGGAAAAAAAAAAGGAAAATGCAGGTAAGCAATACAGTTAGAAAAGCCAGGTGTATCTTTGTTGTTGATTATGCATGTTCTCTTTCCTTTCAGCTTTAGTGCCAGATGGAACAAGGTGCAAAAGGAAGGGTGGGCTGTCCCTCAGGCCACACATCCCCACCCCCACCTCCCCACCCCCTCCTCAGGAAATGCATGCTCTGGGCTCTTCAGCGGGGGGCTCAGGATGCCCAGTGGACACAGGCGAGTCTTCCAGGATGGACTCGAGGCTGCCTCCTAGAAGGCACGGGGATCTACATAAATGAGCACCTGGATTCCATTTCTAGGCTAATGGGTTGAACTTAAAGAGTAACTAAGTGTGCTGGAGATCACACCAAGAAGTGCCCTGCACCCCTCCATCGCCTGCTAGCTAACCTAGCCCCTCCATCGCCTGCTAGCTAACCTAGCCCCTTCATCACCTGCTAGCTAACCTAGCTCCTCCATTGCCTGCTAGCTAACCTAGTTTTGTGCTGACTTTCCATCAGCAACGTGGGACCACAGCGTCACCTCACATAGATGTCAAGCCTCCTTCCCAGGCATCACATCAAGGAAGATAACTCAGCTTAGGAGCTGCTGACATCTTGGTCTATATTTCACATTCAAATGACCTGAACTAGTCATTTGAAGGACTTCTTTCAAGCTGGAACTATCTCCAGCTTTACTCACCCGCCCAGTTCCCCAGAAGGTGATCAGAGTGGCAAGAGGAGGAGACAGGTGCCCGGTGATGGCCGCGGACCCCAGACCCCGGGGAGGAAGCTCGTGCCAGCAGGAAAATGAAACTAGAGACAAGCGAGTCCACTCAGCTGTCGGTGCTTCTGTGAACACAGGCCTCGGGCCCTGAGCAGCCCATGGTCAGAGGAGCCTGGTGGGCTACACCCATGGGGTCGCAAAGAGGCAGACAGGACTGAGCAGCTGGGCATGCATGCGTGTCTCATGTGTATGCACGTGTCTCACGTGCATACATTTTGCTTTTGTTTAGTTGCTCAGTCTTGCCTGACTCTGCAACCGCACGGACTGCAGCACGCCAGGCTTCCTGTCCTTCGCTCCTGTCATCTCCCGGAGTTTGCTCAGACTCACATCCATCGGGTTGGTGATGCCATCCAATCATCTCATCCTCTGTCACAAGAAGCGTAACTATCTACATCTATATGTGGACAGAAATTTGAAGGTGCCCTCCTGCCCTTCTTATGTTAACGGTAACAGACCACACACTTAGCTCTTCTGACCCTGTGCAGGCCTCCTGTCTATGTGAATAAACTATAAATTTACTCAAGATATTAGTTTAGTGAAAGTCGCTCAGTCATGCCTGACTCTTTGCAACCTCATGGACTATACAGTCCATGGAATTCTCCAGACCAGAACACTGGAGTGGGTAGCCTTTCCCTTCTCCAGGGGATCTTCCCTACCCAGGGATTGAACCCAGGTCTCCTGCATTGTAGGCTGCTTCTTTACCAGCTGAGCGACAAGGGAAGCCCACTCAGATAGAAGATAGAAGGTTGCTTCCAATTTGGGGAATGTCTTTGCTTTCGTCTCTGCCGCCACAGTTGTTGCTACAGGGAACAGCCACATGGGTGTCCTTCTGTATCTTTGCCTGTGTATCTCTGGAACAGACTCCTGGGAGTAGGACCTGACATTTTCCCACGTCTCCCCTGATTTCCTCCACAGGGGCTGGGCCACATCTCCCAGCCACGTGTGAGTGTGTTTACTGGATGGGGGTACCAACAGAGTGTGCTGTTGCGAGCCTGGGTTTTTTATCTGACAGAGGAAAACAGGATCCCGCAGTATTTAAGCAGATCAGAGGATGGAATGGGACCTCTGGAGTGCTTCCCTGCGATGCAGGCTGGAGGAGGGAGGGGAATTACACTCGCACAGAGAGTGGAGTTTAATCAACGTGATGGGTCCTTTGAAAGAGTGAATGACTGCTTGAGTGAATGAATGAAGGTTGGGATTAAGCATCAGGAAGTGTCACTTGTCAGCCCGAGCTGCAGGTGGCCAGGGGTGGGGGCATCAAAGCTCCCAGGCTTGGGTTTGCCCCGGCCTGAGCTCACCCCTGGGCACCAGCATCAGCCTTTGTCTCAGCACAAGGCTCTCGTGGCCTCGGTCCTGGGGATGGAGCCTGAAAAGATGCGCCTCCTGCTGCTGAGAAGGGTGACATTTCCTCCCACAGTGAGGCCTCGTCACCAGGCAGCCCCCAGCGAAGGTGCCGACACGCCACTCAATCGCACTGAGTGATGTGTGTAAATACCATTGATTAGAGTGTGATTGCAAATGAATGGCACGATCAGGTCTTGTCACAGAGCGTCCGCGCCCGTCAGTCACTGCTCCCCACCAGGTGTGGGCGGCGTCCCCCCGGGCTTGGGTTCTCACCACCCCCCCACCCGCCGTGGACGAGGCCTCCCCACGGGCCACACATGGGCCTGGAGGGCACAGGCGGGGGGTGAGGCTGGCACTTCCCGAAGATGTCGCCTCGGGCCGTGCTGCCCGCTCGCCCTCCCGGCCTGTCATCCGTCCACAGTGGGGTGGTGACCTCACTCGAGCGGGTGGCTGAGGTCCCGAGCTCCTCCCTCTGGACCCGAAGACCTGAGGCTTTGCCCGAATCCTGGCCATCTGCAGCTGTTCTGCTTAACGTCACGTTCACGATGGAGACCCAAGTATCTGCAGAGCTTTATTGAATCGCATCGCTACCCTGACACGTGCAGAGGGCAAAGCGAAATGTACACAGAACAGAGATCCGTCCCCCTGTCGTCAGAAAGTCGCTGCAAAGAGCTCAGCTTCCTGAACAGTCATGGTTTTTAAATGACTGAAATGCATCTAGGTCTCCATCTGTCACAGCTCTGGCCCTTCTAACTTTGGGTGCAGACCCCAGATCCTGGGTCTTCTGCTGAGAACAGAGCCCGGTCCGTTCCTCACATGCCGTTTCTTTGGACGCAGTGAGGAGGCGCTCAGACGTGAGGTGCTGGGCTCCAGAGCCCACCGTGAGACGGAGGGAGTCCCTGAATGAAACAGACGCCCTGGAGCATCGAGGAAGCGGAGACCACGCCTCCCTCGTCGCTGGTCGGTTACTCAGCTGAGAACCACCGGCAAGTCGGTTCCTGACGCGGGGCCAGGCGGGTGCACACAGTCCTAAGCCACGACCTGGGGGTGTTTCCCAGCCTTTGGGAACCCCGGTGAATAGGCACCAATGGCAGGGCTTCCCCTTTCAGTTCTTTAGAAGATAAATGTCTTGGGAAAGAACTGACCGCTTCAGCTGCCTACCAGAAAGGCCACACGAGGCGCTTCCTGAGGAAAAGGTGAAATTTATGCTTCTGCTATATCCTGAAAGAGCCTCCCATCAGCTGTGTGTGTGGGTATGTGTATATGTGTGTGTGCATGTCTGTGTATCCTCTCTGCCTCCTGTAAGGTGAACAGCCCACTGCCCCCACCCCCACCCCAGTTCTTCTGCATTTATGAGGTGCGAGGTTAAGAACCCCTGTAAACCGAGTTAATCACCCAAGAAATCGGAACACTGGTTCTCAAGCAATGCCTGAGGATGTTGCCACAGTCGTCGCCAGGAGGCATCAGAGAAAGCCCAGAACCTGCCCCCTCTCTGGGTGGGCAGCTCCCGGGAGTGGACCGCGGGGCAGGAAGGAGGAAGTTTAGAGCTAAGCCTCATGACTTGAAAGAGACGTCATCCAAACTAGAAGAGAAACACTGGAAAGAAGGGGAAAGATGAGAGCAGGAAAAATGAAAGCACAGGGCTTCAGCTGGCCCTCTCCTCTGCATCCTCCCAAGAGGGATTCAAGCTGGGCACGCTGCATCTCCGAGGGCTGCTGACCGGAGAGCGCTCCTCGCCAAGTCCATCCCCAGAGTGAGCTCCGTCCCGGGAAACGGGCCGCTCACAGGGAAGGGCAGACGCACCGCGGGCCTCCGGGACCACGGGGTCCCTGACAGACTCTCCCAGCAGAGGAGGAAGACGCCTTTGCTGAGAAACACGTCTCATGCACCTCCGTCTCCTTGTTTTTCTCTAGGAATATTTGTGCTGAAAACCACAAGAACCTGTTGTCCCCCAGTGTCCCCCCGCCGCCCCGTGTCCCCCTGCTGAGGCTGAACGCGCATGCCCGGATCCACTCCCGCGACAACACGCATCAGTGTCCGTCTCGGGGCACCTTTCCCTGATGCCTGGTTTCCATATTTGTGACAGTGAAATACTGTCGGGTTTTCCCTAACTCTGAACAGGATTTGCAGCTGGGAAACGTGGCCATCCTCGATCGTATCTGAATTCGCATAATTGTCATGACGGTGTTCTAACGATTACCGCTTCCAGCCACGGACTCGGGGAGAGGGCCATTCCTGGAACTACACCGTGTAGGGTTCTTATTGAACAAGATGTCCAACCATGAGCAGAGAGGAAAAATGGAGGAGGCTGATATATATTCAGATGCAGGCAAAATCCTATGACACAGTCGTTATTTCCTGGCTCAAATCAAAATTTTAAACAGTTTACTTCCTTCATGTCTTCTCAAGAGTTTCACGTACCAAACTTTCAGTGTCATGACTAATAGCGGCTCTTGCCGAGGCTCACGCTCTTAAAACCCTCTCCAGCCTCCGTGATGTGCAGCGCCTTCCTTATTACGGGATGCATTATGCCAGACGCGCCGGTGCGGTGATGGGGCATGGCAACCCTGCTGTGAGAGTGCCTATCAGAGCTTCTTTTAAGGCCCTTTCTCAATTGTCAGCAAAGTATTTTTTAAGGTTAAAAGGTGTAAAATTATTCTGAAATGCTTTTCTGACCTGTCGCCTATCATGGCAGAGAGCTAGAGTTCATTTTTTTTCTCTAAAATTGTATTTTTTGAAATGCAGTAATATTATAAGAATAAGCTTTCTATGAGGAAAATAGTCCCCTGAAATGTTCATGATATTTTTTTGCATGCCTTCTGCTCCAATGACTGCAATATTAATCACTGTTTCATGCTTAGAATTTTTTTTTTCCGATGCAATTTTTCTTATCTCAAGCCTCGGCGGCTGTGGAGAAATTAATATAAATGACCGCTATGTTTTAGCATCTGCTTCTTTTCCCTCTGCTTTTTTACCCCCCTGTTCCTGAGTCTGTGGTTGCTTCATATTCCATCAACGTCAAGTGAGACCCATCGCTGGCCCAAGGTCCAGCCTGGTTACGCGGAGGCGAGGGCCACACGCTGGCACTGATGGAAAGCAGCCGGAGGTGTGGAGTCTCTTGGTCTCGTGCCTTCCTGGCCCCAGGCCTGCCCACCAGCAAAGGGCCTGGCCCGTCATCCCGGGCCGGCCAGCCTGTCGTTCCCCTCTCCGGCCTGTGAGGCCCCCTTTCTACAGTGTGGACTCACCGATCATCCTGACCATTTCCATTCCACTGAAATGGCTGGTAGATTTTGACATGTGGGTTCTGCCAAGGCCTGCAGGGAGCTTCCCAGGGACAGAAAAAGCCCTGAGAAGCTCCCCTGGGGACTACGGAGGCCCAGGTGGAGAATCGGGGACAAAGAGGGATGTCGCTGGGGGGTCAGCCTGCGCTAAGCCCGCCTCCCAGAGCTGCTCCCATCCCTTAGCGAGCCCCCGGCGTCCGGGCCTGGCCCCGTGCAGGCTGTCTCTGACCGCTGGGGCCCAGGTTCCATCCCTGGGCGGGGTCTAAGGCCCCACAAGCCACGCTGCATAGCCTAAAAAAAAAAAAAGCTGGTCGAAAAAGAACATTTTTCACATGATCAGTAATTGAAAGCAAACTTGCATTGAGCTGAGAGAATAAAGGCTCGATTGCGCTCCTCTCCTGTGTGTGGGACGCACCGGAGCAGGCAGGCAAACCGTGGAGGGACGGTTCCCAAACGCAGGGCCAGGTGGGTAACACAGTTCTCCCTGAATTTGATGATGTCTGACGGGCTGATCAGAGCGTTAACATTTGTGCTTTGCTGCAGTTTCTCATCTGAAACAAATGCTCACGTTGGTCCCTGCCTTTGTGTTTTTGGTGTTGCATTTTCTTCCCTACAAAAGCCTGAGAAAGCCGGCTCTTCGCTCCTGATGACCCCACTGACACGCATCAAGTTTACACCGGAAGACAGTGCTCTAAACGCAACCCTCAGCTCCCCTCCACCCCACCTGCTGTAACAGACGAGGTTCTTCTCTGCATGAACGTGGGGTCGTCTCTTGAGGGGTCAGCAGCCAGACGCTCGGCCACAGCTCGGGAGGAACGCAAACTGAGAGGATTCTGTGTGCCTGGTGGACACAGGGGCCAGATGTCGCCGACGTAAAGAGCTCTCAGCTTCCTGCCTCTCCCTCCTGCACACCACATCACCTCCATAATTCAAAGGCTTCACGCCAGCGCCCTGGTCCCACTCCTGAGTGCGTGTCTGCGTGTGCAGTGTCATCTTCCTCACACACACGGGGCTCACGTGCTTCTAACCCTGGTTACCACGTGGCCCCTGACACTCTGGGGCTTGGGAGACTGTCCTGACAAACGACAGAGTCTTAGAGACCCGAGGGGGAGCACGGACGCGTTTCCCTATTCATACGTAGGTGAGCGGGAGACGTGGAAAGAATGATCCCCAGTGGTCACTGTTGACCACCGAAATCTTGCTGGAGAGCATCTCACAGCTCTTCTGCTCTTCAGAGGCATTGCTGGACATGTGGCCTCGAGACAAACCATTCCCCACGCCAGAGAATACTTACCTATAGTGGATGAGGACAGGAGATAGTATTTTCATCCTAATTTTAGAAGAGAAAGGGTGGATTAAGACAGCCGATAGTCCACCAGCGATGGGAAGTTCCGTGGTCCCACGTCCTCCCAGCTCTGCCTCGAACTCATCTCACTAACCTTAGTATGCTGTCCGCTGACCTCGGTGAAGTGTCCTTCCCTATTTTATGCCATTCAGATTTGCATGCTTGTGACATCTCTACTTTTTGCTCATTTTATTGTCTTTTGACCTCTTTCTTACTGACATGTAAGACTTTTTTTTGGAGAAGGAAATGGCAACCCACTCCGGTGTTCTTGCCTGGAGATTCCCATGGATGGAGGGTCCTGGCAGGCTACAGTCCATGGGTCACAAGAGTCAGACACAATTTAGCAACTAAACCAAGGCTTCTTCACTTATTTTAGATAATTAACCTTTTGTCATTCTGCTAGTGTTGCAAATATCTTTTCCTAGTTTCTGGCCTGTGGTTTTGTCCTCTTTGGTAACTTTTGACTAAAATTAACTTTTTTTAATGTATAAATGTTTTAAATTTATTTTTAATTGGGGGGATTGCTTTACAATGTTGTGGTGGTTTCTACCATTTAACAACGCAAATCAGCATAATTACACATATATTGCCTCCCTCCCCTCTCCCCATCTCACCTTCTAGAACATCATCGAGCACCAGCCTGGCCTCCCTGTGTTATACAACAGCTTCTTACCAGCTATCTATTTTACACATGAAAAGTGAAAAAGTGAGTCACCCAGTCATGTCCGACTCTTTGTGACCGCATGGACTATATAAACATGGAATTCTCCAGGCCGGAATACTGGAGTGGGTAGCCTTTTTCTTCTCCAGGGGATCTGCCCAACCCAGGGATCAAACCTAGGTCTCACACATTGCAGGAAGATTCTTTACAGCTGAGCCACAGGGAAGTCCAATTTTTTGGTTTTTTTAATGCATGGTGGTGTTAAAAATAACTTCTTAAATCAAATGGAGATATTTCCAAGACACTGCTGAGCGGATGTGTGGACCCTGGTCCCAGGGTGGGGGTCCCCTGCTCTGGGGTGGGTGATGTCTCTCTGATTCTGCTCCTGAAAGTGGCTCTGCTTTGCCCTTCTTCCTTCTAAAACTTCCTCCCTTTCCTTCAGCCCCATTGGCCATTTTCAATTCAGACATCAGAGACAAACTCCTTCCCAGTCTCCTTGTTTACAGGTGGGGGGCGGAGGGCAGAGGTCATCTCGTCCCTAAAATCGCTGCCTCTGTTAGCCCTGGCTGGTGGCTCCTTGGACTGTGATGCACCGTAGTTCACTTTTGTCCACTTGATTTCTCTGTGCTACAGGTGCCCTCAGTCCTTATCCAGAACGTCCTCAGATTTCCTGTATTTTTCTGCTTTTTCTCTGTTGGCCTGCCTGTTGGGGAGCCCCATCCGGGGCCTCTTCCCCAAGCCATTCTGCATGTACTGAAGGGGCCGCGGACGGAGCGGTCCCCTCACAGCCTTGTCTGCTGATGGGGACCCGGGCGTGAGCTCAGCCTGACATGACAGCCCTTCCGAGTTCACTTTTCACTGTGAGGAGTGGAGAAGCAGCGACCCTCTCTCATCTTATAAGCCCATGAATTTGTGGACTCTCCTGTTAATTCTGCTTGTAAAGTAGCCAGGTCTCTGAGCGAGACCCCATGTTGTAATGCTTTGCCAAATGCAGACAGCATCAGCTATTGTGGGTTCGGTGGTGTCTCCCTGCAAAGAAGAGATGCTGAAGTCCCTCTCCTCGGGGGCACCCGTGGACGTGACCTTATTTGGAAATAGGTCAAGTTCAGATGAGGTCACAGTGGATTAAACAGAGCCTAAATCTAATCCCTGGAGCTCTTGAATGCGATGCCCCATTCAAGGGCAGGGAGAATGCCCCATGAGGATGCCACCATGTCACCCAGGGAGAGGGCCGCGTGACCTGAGACAGAGACTGACTGATGCCGCCGACAGGCAAGGAGCACCAGGGTCCCCGGGAGCCGCCAGGAGCTGGGCGAGGCAAGGAAGGACCCCAGGCCCATCAGCGGGGGCCCGGCCATGCCCACACCTCACCGTCTGACTTCTGGCCTCTGCATCCTGGTTGTTTCAGGCATCATGGCCTTTGGTTACTGCCTCATGCCAGCCAGCATCGGGACCCAGCCTCCGGTCTGACAGCCTCCTCTGGAGCCGCACAGCTGGTGCGGGTGAGCCAAGGGCCCTGGGAACCGGAGGTGCCTCTTCCCCCCGAGGCCCTGTCCATCCTCACACAGTCACAGTCTTTCCAGCCTTAACCACACTTCCTTTCTTCTCGACCCCTCACTACAATGACAGAGCCACATACTGCAGGATTTTTAAAATAGGTTTTCTTTTTTAAGATTCACAGCAAAGTTGAATGGAAGGTACAGAGACTTCTGCATGTTAGTAAGATGTGGTCTAAGCACACGTATCTTCACCACCAAGGAGAATACACTCCCGGCTCCCCTGATGGCTCAGATGGTAAAGAAGCCACCTGCCAATGCCGGAGACACAGGTTCAATCCCTGGGTCAGAAAGATCCCCTGGAGAAGGAAGTGGCAGCCCACTCCAGCATTCCTGCCTGGAGCATCCCGCAGATAGAGGAGCCTAGTGGGCTACAGTCCATGAGGTTGCAAATAGTCAGACACAACTTAGCAACTAAACCACCTCTGCCAAGTACAAATGTCTTCATCACTGAGGAAAATACAGTCCAGATTAAAAGACCCAGTCACTGAGGTCACTTCCCCAGTTTCTCCATCTGTAAACTGAGAGGTGGGTGGGACCATCTCCGATTGAAATGCTAACTCTGTGGTAGCTCCTCCCCAAGGATCTTCCTACAAGAAAAGCAGCCCCACACCCTCTTGGACACAAACCGTGCAGTTTAAGCCACAGCGAAGTTCTCCTGACAAAGTCAACAGAGACGTTCTTCAAGAACCACGGGGACTGGGTTCTAAGCCCTCTGTGCAAACGGCCCCTAAGAAGCATGGCCTTTGGCGCCTAAACACTCAGCCCCCGATGGTGGGCAGAGGTCAGACGGAGACTGTCTGCAGCATCGGCACGTGGCCGGCGCTCAGGGAGGACCCTCTAAGCCAAGGACACCACAGCTCTGGACCACATGAAGGCCAGAAGGCCGGTGAGGTATGTACTTTTTCTGCTAATCTCTTTTCTGATTTACAGATTTGTACTTCTCTTTTTTTTTTTTTTTTTTATTTTTTATTTATTTTTTTTACTTCTCTTTTTTAAATGGTCAAGTTATTCTTGATGTGTAAAGAACGAACAATGTCTTTTACTGGCAATAATTCCATTTTGGATTAGAGAATTAATGTTCTCCTGGTATTTGTATCAGTTCAGTTCAGTCCCTCAGTCGTGTCCTACTCTTTTCGACCCCATGGACTGCAGCACGCCAGGCCTCCCTGTCCATTACCAACTCCCAGAGTTTACTCAAACTCATGTCCATCGAGTCAGTGATGCCATCCAACCACCTCATCCTCTGTCATCCCCTTCTCCTCCCAACTTCAATCTTTCCCAGCATCAGGGTCTTTTCAAATGAGTCAGCTCTTTGCATCAGGTGGCCAAAGTATTGGAGTTTCAGCTTTAGCATCAGTCCTTCCAATGAATATTCAGGACTGATTTCCTTTAGAATTGGCTGCTTGGATCTCCGTGCAGCCCAAGGGACTCTCAAGAGTTTTCTCCAACACCACAGTTCAAAAGCATCAATTCTTCGGCACTCAGCTTTCTTCCAGTCCAACTCTCACATCCATACATGACCACTGGAAAAACCATAGCCTTGACTAGATGGACCTTTGTTGACAAAGTAATGTCCCTGCTTTTTAATACGCTGTCTAGGTTGGTCATAACTTTTCTTCCAAGGAGCAAGTGTCTTTTAATTTCATGGCTGCAGTCACCATCTGCAGTGATTTTGGAGCCCCCAAAATAGTCTGTCACCATTTTGTTTCCCCATCTATTTGCTGTAAAGTGACGGGACCAGATGCCATGATGCTAGTTTTCTAAATGTTGAGCTTTAAGCCAACTTTTTCACGCTCCTCTTTCACTTTCATCAAGAAGCTCTTTAGTTCTTTGGTTTCTGCCATAAGGATGGTGTCATCTGCATATCTGAGGGTATTGATATTTCTCCTGGCAATCTTAATTCCAGCTTGTGCTTCATCCAGCCTGGCATTTCGCATGATGTACTCTGCACATAAGTTAAATAAGCAGGGTGACAATATATAGCCTGATGTACTCCTTCTCCTATTTGGAACCAGTCTGTTATTCCATGTCCAGTTCTAACTGTTGCTTCCTGACCTGCATACAGATTTCTCAAGAGGCAGGTCAGGGGGTCTGGTATTCCCATCTCTTTCAAAATTTTCCACAAAGTCAAAGGTTTTGGCATAGTCAGTAAAGCAGAAGTCATTTTTCTGGGACTCTCTTGTTTTTTTCGATGATCCAACGGATGTTGGCAATTTGATCTCTGGTTCCTCTGCCTTTTCTAAATCCAGCTTGAACATCTGGAAGTTCACAGTTCACATACTGTTGAAGCCTGGCTTGGAGAAATTTGAGCCTTATTTTGATAGCCTGTGAGATGAGTGCAATTGTGCAGTAGCTTGAGCATTCTTTTGGCATTGCCTTTTTTGGGATTGGAATGAAAATTGACCTTTTCCAGTCCTGTGGCCACTGCTGAGTTTTTCAAATTTGCTGGCATATTGAGTGCAGCACTTTCACAGAATCATCTTCTAGGATTTGAAATAGCTCAACTGGAATTCCATCACCTCCACTAGCTTTGTTTGTAGTGATGCTTCCTAAGGCCCACTTGACTTTGCAACCATTTTGCCTTTTTGCATTTCTTTTTCTTGGGAATGGTCTTGATCCCTGTCTCCTATACAAAGTCATGAACCTCCGTCCATAGTTCTTCAGGCACTCTATCAGATCTAATCCCTTGAATCTATTTGTCACTTCCTATATAATCATCAGGGATTTTATTTAGGTCATACTTGAATGGTCTAGTCATTTCCCCTACTTTCTTCAATTTAAGTCTGAATTTGGCAATAAGGAGTTCACGATCTGAGCCAGTCAGCTCCCAGTCTTGTTTTTGCTGACTGTATAGAGCTTACCCATCTTTGGCTGCAAAGAATGTAATCAATCTGATTTCGGTATTGACCATCTGGTGATGTCCATGTGTAGAGTCTTCTCTTGTGTTGTTGGGAAAGGGTGTTTGCTATGACCACTGCGTTCTCTTGGTATTTGTATATGACAGCCTCATTCAATCACCTTCTGACCTAAACACTGTATTTGTTTTAGGATTGAAACATGGACATTGTAACCTGAATCCCCTGTGTGAAGAATTCTAAAAGTAAGGGGTCATAGTACAAACTTTTTTTTTTATTTTAAAAACATACACAAACAGGATCGCTATCTAAAAAGAAAAAGGAAAAAATTCATGTCATGCAGTGTGCAAAAATTCATTGTGCCAACTTCAGAATCTGTCTTAATCTGTTTTGAAATGAACTTGATCTTTGACACTTAATTCCTTCTATTGACAGCAAGATTCAAGGCTCTAATTTTTAGAGGTTTATAAAACAGGGAAAAAAACTTTCTAAATATCAAGCATTCAGTTGCTTCAGTTGTGTCCTACTCTTTGAGATCCCATGGACTGTAGCCCACCTGGCTCCTCTGTCCATGTGATTTCCCAGCAAGGATACTGGAGTGAGTTGCCACACCTTGTTCCAGGGGATCTTCCCGACCCATGGATCGAACCCACATCTCCTGCATTGCAGGCAGACTCTTTACCAGCTGAACCATCAGGGAAGGCCAAATATCAAATAGTGCTCACAGAACGTAAATGAAGTGGATGTAGTCTAGCGCCAGATTTACTTCATTTGACATATACGTGGAATCTTTTTTTCTTAAAGGCCAAACGTTTGGGGCCGTACTGGGATCTCCTTGGAGCTGAAAGGTTTAGAAGTGGAGGCGTTGAGGAATCCCAACAGCTCTCGACATCCACGCTCTTGATAGCAGCTCTGTGTACTCTCCTGCATCTTAGAAAGCTTTTTCTAAGCGGAAGACTTTTAAAGTTCAGAAGTTGAAACCCCTTCTCTGCTGAAGAGAAGACAGAAGCTGCTCTTAGGCATTACAAATATTATCCATCCTATGTTCAACATCAAAAGCTACAAACCAACAAAAAGACAAAATCGTCAAGGGAGGAGAGAGCTCACAGGAGGATACACGTTTTCCCCTTAAAACGTCGATGAGTCTTCACAGACCCACTTGCAGGAGCCACAGGGCAACAGCACCCCTCCCGAGAGAGAGACGCCAGGCTCTGAGGATCCCTCACCCAGCAAGAGGCTCAGCCCCTGTCCTCAAGCCCCTCTCCTCCCAACACGCACGTGGCTTCCAGAACAGCTTTAGAGCAACCCAAGCACGTTTACTTCACAAGCATGCACGCGACAGCACATGCAACTTGTGCTTACTAAACATTTCTCTGCCTCGCCACACACCGCTGGTCAACACGCAACAAGATTAGCAGCGAGTCACCGAAACCCAGAGAATAAATCAATTACACGTCCAGGGAATTCTTTTTGGCTCTGAAGTCTGTGAGCGTTTCTAATTTATAACAGTTTCTCTGGCTATCATGTTCCAATTAGCAAATACAGGAAAAAATCGCTGCACTACAGCAGGCTAGATGGCATTTTGTTTTCCCTTTTTCTGTTCTCACAGTCCCTGAAGCTCATTCAGAGGATCCACCCTCCCACAATCCAAACAAAAAGCATTTATTAAATAACTAGTATAGTGATGTCTCACTCAAGTGATTTTTAAGGACAAGTGAAAAGATAAAACTTTACCACTAAAAGATGCTAACAGGGTCTCGGTGCTCTCAGGGTGAGTCTGAATTTTTGTCCAGAACGTTCCTGTGATGGACAAGAGAGCAAGTGGGGAGGAGGAATGGGGGAGGGGAAGGACAACCAGAACTTCTCATTCAACCTTAGAAGGCAGGTCCGCTCCAATTTCAACTATATTGTACAATAAAATTGATACTTCATCTGATGGTGCAAAACACTTTACTATATTTGCAAAAGTGTCTTTTGGTTAAATAAATATTCCAGGACCTTGCAAAAACAAATGAGCAGTTTCTCATTAACCGGGCCTTTAAAAGGTTTACAACGA